GTATTGGAAACTCAGCTATCCTTAGTACCTCAGCTCTCTGATAACAGAAAATATGTATGTAGTTCGTTAAAATAATTGCATATCAAATTCAATGATCTGTGTCAACCAAGGTTGCATACTGAAATGATATTGAAGTAAAAGTGACAGAAAAAGAAAGATGAAATTTTTTCACCTGAATGAGGTAAGGCAAATCAAATTTGCAGATGTTATAACCAATTATAATATCTGGGTCCACTTCACGAATAAAATCCTGCATTGAAAATAAAAATTAGAAAACAGAATGGATATGTTTCCACTACTTATACAGTGGATTTTAAGAAAGGAAAACACTGCTGCATGACATTATGAAAAGGAGAAACTAGAAAATATTTTTCAACCTCATAGCATCTTTTTATTTTTAAGACAAAAGGTTATAACTCTCATTAATTATTTGGTAAATCCCTTTCCACACTAAATTTTACCGAATTTCCACTAACCTTGCCCTTGGTTGTAATTAATATGTAAACATAACATACATTAGAAAGTAAAAAGCAATATAAAGGTATAAGAAGTTAAAAACTAAAGTTTCTGAAACACATAATCAAAGTCGTCAAGAGAACATTCTGGACAGCTCAGAAGAAAATTAAAAGGCACAATAAAAAATTGCACAAATGACACTATCTTCTATAATTTTGCCTCGAGTACAAGATTTTATCCATGCGCAAGATTTCTGCTAAAATCTTACCCTCCAAGCTAATAGAACTTCTTTTTCTGTCTCAAATGACATGACATCAACACCAACAATTGGTGCGCAGGACTGAAGGGTCATTACATTACGAACAAACGGCTGATCCTCTCCTTGCAAGGTAACCAGATTGGACACCTGGAAAACAAGAAATTTATGGTGGCAACCAACAGCTTAAGGACAGCAGCATACCATATAACACCAGTTCTCTAAATATAAATTAGAGATGAATTCACTATAGACCTGGATGACAGGATCATGAGTGGGCTCGGGAAAAAGACCTTTACGACCAGCACACTCAATGTCAAAACTTAATATGCGAAATGGTGCCATCTTTGAGAACCCCCCTTCAGGAGCATGGCTGATCAAGTCTGAAAAACTGAGACGATTCATTAAGGAATTTTTTATTTTTATTTTTTACAAAAAACAAATCCTAAATAAAACATACAAGCTTCCATGCTTAGCCACTACAAAACTTTAGTGCAAGGATACAGACAATCAAACTCTAATTGGGAATAGGAGAGATTGCGAGCTGTCTTTTTATGTTTTCCAACTGGAACTTCTATCCAATTGCCACCGACAATGTTGCGGTCAATCATGAAACGGAGAGCAAAAAGAACATTACTCTCATATGTCATAAAACTCTTCATACCGAGTCCATCAATTTGTATGCCTCTATCAAGGATACCTGCCCAAATGCACATTTTAGATGGGCCGAGAGCAATAAGAAATGCAAGAAATAGATCATATACTCAGCCCCTTTAACTTTTAAAAAAAAATGCATCTGCACTTAACCTTTCGTGGCATATGCTTCTACAATATCTAAATACTATCAATTATCTCTATTTAATGATGCTGCGTACAACAATGCAGTCAATTCAAGAATACTTACTGCGAATTGATAGCAACTACAGGCAAAACCTATGGACCTCACACGCACATCTAACAAATAAAGAGATGAAATGCCAAGCAACTGGAAAACTACCAGCACTAGTAAAATAATGTTGTAGAGCATAAGAAAATCTAAATTATACCACGGCAGCTAGCAACCATTGTTGGCAATGCCACAACAATCTTAAGGAAGGGCTGAGAACTCTGTTGTTGATAATACATGATGCTTCTTCTCTGAACAAGTTCAATGCGGCGAACAAATTTTGGAACCTTGCTGTTTCTGTTTGCTTCTCTCATCCTACCCTGCATTAAACATGCCAACAACAGAAGAATGCAACCAAACAAGTGAACAAAGTCACAGATGGAAGTATATTATTTAAAAATACAAGATTATCAGCAGAATTGAAGAGATTACCTCGAGAGCTTGATGAAAGTGCGAGATATCATCAGGGCTCATTCCAGGAGGACAACTGATGTAGAAATATGGTTCAAATCCATGTACACTACAGCAAACACTATGCCCTGGCCAACACGCAAAACAATTAATGTTTAGAAATGCATAACACATAATATCATTTAATAACCGTATGCAAATGACCAGCGTGATTTCTTCAAGTATCTCGTACAATCGAGATTATTAATTGCATATCAGACTTTGCAACACAATAAATTGATGAACAAGTCCAACAGTTAGGGTTCAAATATAAACATAACTATTTGAAGCCAGAGTATTAACTTTCTTGGGGGAAAGAATCCAATCAATCAGTAGGCACAGTAATAAGTTGGTATCAGATTTTATTGTGAAACAAAAGAAATGATTCACAACTTAGATCTTTACTTTGCTCTTATATGCTGGAACATGAAACAAGAACAATTATACAGAAGAAAGTAACCAACATCTCTAACTTTCAGAACAATTACAAGCACTGCCTAATTTCATACAATGATTAACCATCACAGCAAATTTAACTTCAAATTTCAAAGTGCTATGATCTCTTCTTCAAGCCAACTCTCTTCATCAACCGTTCAAACAAAATATACTTTTCCCCCATTAAGATTAACTTCCACCCATGTAACTAACTTACCTGTTTGTATATTTTATGAGTTTAAAATTGTGATTCACTCTATAAAGTTTAATTTCTTTCATGGTATTGAGAATGCGGGCTCCTGGTACAGAGTTGAGGTATAGAGAGCCAACCTTCCTTGGTTACACCAAATATCCTGATAATTGCAGCTGGACCTGAAGAGTTTGGTAGCAATTCTTTGTGGCTATCGCCAATCACATAGTCAATCTCCAACTGCTGAAATACTTGATAATACAAGGGGGAAAAAAAGTTATACCACAAATCCCATCACAACTTCCAATGAAAAATCTGACCTTTCCTTTCCAACCCTAATTTTTAATACATTTGGAGCAGTTATAATTGGCAATATCAAGGAACGGTAATAAGGCATGAGATTGAACATAACATGTAACTTATGCAGCAAATTGTACCTTGCTAACAAAAAAAGGGGTAAAAGGGATAGCAATAGAAAAAATGTATAAACGTTGTGCTGCAAATATTGAATTTTAGTGAAATGTGCAACTAATGGTTATGGTAAATTTAATTTAAAAAGTCAATATTAGGAGTTCCAGTGCAAATAGATGTCTTATGGATACGTTTCGACCTAAAATGTTAGTGGAATATTAGCAAGTTGATTGTAGAACAGGGTCTGTTGACGCTTATGCTTCACTGATCGTACAATTTCCAGAAAGCCCCAATTTTTTAAAACCCTGGAAGCCATATGTCTTTCGAATTTCCCTTGTGACCAAGGTACGAGAATTGGAGCGCATGGTACGTTGGCAGCAGCAGAATCGAAGTGTTTTGGGTTCTATTTCGTTACTTAGTACTTACTAATGTTCTGAGACTGATTGAGGTATGATGAAGAGAGCGCAGGACGTTTCCACTTCGCTAGACGCTCAGATATAGTGCGGCGCTGCGAGTCTTCCTCCTCGTACTGAAGAAGGGTTTCCTCTAGGAAAACGTCTTCGTCAAACTCCTCTTCTTCCGTAGATGTGCGCTGTTTCTGCTGGGGTGACGGCGTCGCAAGCGCCGGAGTAGGTGGCACTGGGCGCTTCCGGGTGTTGCCGTTGGTGCCCATGGGCTGTGGGAGGGAAATGTGAGCGTGATTCCCGCCAGTTTTGGGAGGACCGCATATTTATATAGGCGGTCTGGAAACCTTGGTCATGGAGACTGGGATTCACGTGAGCGTCACGTGATTCAAAAATCCTTGAATAGTTAACAAGAGCAGCCCAACTCAAATAGTGCAGTGAAGGTTTATGACTTTTGCTTTGCATCCTCATTTATTAAGGAATTGTTTAAGTCACATTATTTTTAAAAAAATACATTTTTCAATAGTGATTTGATACATTCTTTAGTAAAATAATATTACACGCAGATTTAAAATTTTTCTTTACTTTTTAACCACACATTTTTCATTGATTCAAACTGAATAATGCATTTTTTTCTTAGAATATAGCTCGAATATGGGCTAATCTTTTAATCAATTAACATCTCATTTCTATCCAAATATTCTATTATCGTGTTATGGCAAGAGGGACAAAAATTTTGTTAACTTATATTTATTAGGCCCTACTTGTTTCTCATTCTTTAGCAAAAAAAATGAAAAATGACCATTATCCATCACACAAGTCACCATATTTGACTTTATCTCTCTTGTTTGAATCCTGTAACAACTATATTTTTCATTCTTATTCTTATAAGAATATGAATCAAATAGGGGCTTACTATTTTTTATTTTTTTGCTTATTTGAAAATATGAGGGAAATAAGTTTGTTTATAAATCTTTATGAATTTTTGGATGAAAATCATCGTCGAAGACAAGATGTTCTAATTAATGAAAACAAAAAATAACTTGGGGAAATACATGTCATATAACAAATGTTGAGACCTCCAATTGCAATTAAAATGGAGTATATCGAATAAAAATTATTAGATAAATATAACAAATATTTTGCTTAAATTGGTTGGGTCACCGGTCACCCTATCTATGATCAAACATAAATTACACTGTTTAATTCATGTGTTATAAAGCAAACCAAAGCAAAATAACCAAAAATGTACAAGTTATTAACCTTGTTATATATATATCTATACTTCTTAAGGCTGAAAATTCAAGGTAATGGACATAGACAATATAATGTATAATATATTAACTTCGTCCAAAGCTAAAACTGAATAATGTAAGGTAGAAATTTCAACATGTAAAATATAAACAAACGGTCTCTTATTTCGCCCTCAATGTATGAAAACTTCTATCTTGCTTGTGACAACTGTATAGCTTCTTGGTTATAAGTAGAATCTTCAGCCCAAATGAACTGGTGGGATAAAAGCGAAAATTCTTGGTATCTTACTTTTTCTAGTTGCTCCCACTCAGCCCATCGCTCTGCCAAACCCACTCCCTGCAGCATGTCAACGACTTCTACCATCCTCGGACGATCTTCTGGTGAACCTTGGGTGCAAAGCATAGCGACTTGTAGAATTGTCTTGACTTCTTCAAGATCATAACCATTCAAGTTCTCATCAACAATGTCCTCAATCTTATCCTCTCTTAATAATTTTTTGATCTGGAAATATATCAAATTAATTATCGAAAATCGCTTAGCATTCGATATATATCTTGACCAGGAAGAATAGAGCAAGCAGAAAAACTATCCAAATGTAAAATTACAGAGAGGATATACATGTTGAAGATTTAAATTAATAAGTTGACTTCTCTATAATTAATTAAGCTTTTAGATAATGTCATTCAACATCATATCAAAGCATGCAAAGGTCCAGAAGTTAACTCACGTTGCCTTTGCTATATTAATACCATGATTCTGTGAGCAGCATGCCTAAGTTTACATATACAACTCCAGTAAATTTTAATTTACTTTAGCTAAATCATCTTGAGTAGATGCAATACTAGAAAGAAGGCTATTTGTTCTTCAAACGATTTTTTGAATTAGTTTTAACAATTGTACGCACAAACCATAAAGTTAATTTTCAATACCGAAGGAAATTGTTCTGAAACTTGACGAGAAGGAATCCCCCAACTTGACCTGTTGTTTCATGTATATTCAATATAGACATAATATAATGTTCCAAAGAGAACCTTCAAACTAGAAATCTTATGGCCAAACTCTACAAACTCGTGTAGGTGTATGTTTTTCAAGGCTTGATTTCAGTTCGTTTGCAACAATTAGTGGACAAATACAAGAAGCAACAAAGAAAGTCTGATTGCAAAATTTAATTTCAGAAAATAGTGAAACAGAGCTTACGTGATCCAGCAGCAGAACCTCCTCCTCCTCTTCAAGACGGGAGAAATCTATTGCACGCTGGCCAGTTACTAGTTCTAGAAGAGTTATACCATATCCAAAGACATCCGTCGCTTCGGAAGATTTTCCTGTAGACAAATACTCGGGGGCAATGTGTCCCATAGTTCCACGTATTTGAGTGGTAATGTGTGTGAGCTTTGTGTCCAATAGTTTTGCCAACCCAAAATCTCCAAGGACAGCTTCAAAATCATCATCGAGAAGGATGTTTGCAGCCTTCAAATCACGGTGAATGATCTTAGGGTTGCAATGCTCATGAAGGTACTCCAGGCCATGGGCTGCACCACAGGCTATCCGCTTTCTTGTTGGCCAGTCCAGGCCTTTCTCCCCAGGTTTTAAATCTGTCATGCTCAAAAGATTTTGAGTTTTCAGTGAAGCACTTTGTACACATTTATGACATGTAAATAAAAGAGACTAAATAATTCTGAAGTGCAAAATCATTCACCAGTCACCATTAGTTCCTTCAAGTATAGTGTTGTTCTCTAATTTAATTTATCTTGCAATAAAAAGTGATGGAATGGTGCAGAACACGTTAAATACTATTAATATCAATCTTGCCATAATGATAAAATTAGAAAACAATACAAAAAATTATATGAGGATATAGAATGTCTTTATTTCAGAATATAATTAGTAACGGCTATTTTGCGCACACTTGAGTAGTGAAGAGTGAACAGATTCTCCTGCAAGGAAAGGTGGTTTCCATAGCAGCATCCACAACTAATTTGCATCTACTTGGTGGGGGTGGGATTACTAAAATATATCTTCATATTCGTTCTTTCCTATTTTTACGAGTCTTGGGATTTTATGCTCTCTCAGCCTAAAGGCAGACCATTGACGAAAAAAGGCAACTAAGTAAATTGTCATGAGGAGTACCTCTTAAGCGATACGCAACACTGAGATTCTGCATAAATGGGTAAACAAGAATTCTCTCTGTACAGGTTGTACAAAACCCAATTAATCGAAGCAAGTTTTTGTGAACTGCAACACTTATCAAGTGAACCTCCCGTAAAAAGGCATCCACTCCACCAGGACTACGATAGTCCATTAGGCGTTTCACAGCAACTCGGGTGTTGTCTGAAAGGATACCCTTGTATACTTTTCCAGAGCCCCCTTGTCCAATAATGTTGCTTTCACTAAAATTCTCTGTTGCTAGCTGAATTTCCCGCAATGAAAACCGTCTGAGTTGTCCAAAGGAAATTTTGCACTCATCTTCACCTGAGTGAAAATGTGAGCCATACATCAATCTAAGTGGAGTTGAGAAGAATCTCTAAGCATACTACAGTTCAGATAAGAGGATGCAGAGATCTATAATTGACATCAACTTAAACAAGAGGGGCAGATAACTCCCAGTAGTAAAAAGGACGAAAAATTTTGGAATACGCAAATAAACAAATGCACACACCAATTATCTAGTTTCTCTGAAGTATTAATGTATCCAACCCCTGTTACACTGTTTTCTTATTTATTTGAGTCTTTGATTCCTGTGCATCAGAAGTTGAAATTCCAATATTCCTTTTAAATGAATAAGCAAGAGTAGGAAATATTTTGAAATAATTTCAATCCATGATTTAGCTTTGACACCAACAAACACGTGGAGAGCCAATACCTCTCCCAGCAATCTTTATATATATTACGTTGTGTACTCAAAAAAATTAAAATAATATATAATTCGAAGAAAAATTACCTGCAACATCAACAAATATATCACTTTTCGGTTTATGCACCCGATGGAATCGGTAGGCAAAGACAGCCCCAAGTAACAGGAGAGCAAATACACAAATGCTTGCTATGGTAATGGAAACTTCAAATTTTGATTTTCTATTAGAAACTGCATTGATATCTGGAGTCAGTTTTCTGTTCTTCTTTTTCTCCACAAGAAGAATAATAATCTAATAAAACCGAGAATGCCACTGCGAAAATAAACAAAACCTTGGGTGGCGGAATTTGGAACACAAGGGTGCTGGAATTTGTTTCCACATGTAAGATGCGTGCCTGTGAAACTGAAATGTGACACTTAAGACAGAAATGAACAAGTGGAGGTACCAAAAATAAGATGACAAGTTCGGGTCTCAATAGAGCTCAAACTGATGTAGACAACAAATTAACTTAACAACTAGAATCTATTTTATCGTCCTGACTGTTTCTACTGTACCGTTATCATGGACAAAATGTCCCTCAAAACTTCATCCCAGGAGCTCTTCCTAAAATGCTTCTCTAAGATTACAATCTTACTTCTAGTTCATACTTCATGTTAATGTTCATAGCATTTCAAAAATCAAGCCACGACAAAAAGGAAATCCATAATCACACTTGAGGATTAATCATGATAATTTCAAAGTTAACAAGCATTATCCATAACAAAATTATAGGCCCATGATGACCGTAGAATCCCAACACGCCTAATATTTCGCGGTACTGACAAACTTAAATGAAAAGATCATGAATTCATTTTGAGCAAGATACTGTAAAGCATGATAATAGTTTCCTTAGACTTAATTGAAATTATAATTTAATAAAAACGCAAAAAAGCTGGAGAAATTTCATGACACCTGTACGAATTTAGCATGCAATTGTTAGGACCTAACACAAATTGCAACTGTTCCAAAATTCTGATTCTACAGTAAATTTAAAGATTATAAGAACATTTAATAAGAAAAACACTTACTCAAAGATGGGTTTTGAAAACAATTCTGTAGGAATTCTCCCTGACAAGTTGTTGGATGAAAGATTCCTGCAAGCAGAAAATTTCACTAGTAGTATAAACATGGGAAAGATAGAGTGGCTCTTGAATAACATTCATTAAGACTTCTTACAGTTCCAATAAGCCTGAGATATTTAGAAGCGATTCAGGGATAGGTCCACTTAAATGATTTCCACTCATAACCCTGATTGATGAAGAGTTCCAAAATTTTCACTTCAGCACATATAAGATGTACATGAAATATGAATGCTAAATTTTTAATGGGTGAGCATTAAAACTTACAAATGTTTCAGGTTGGAAAGTTGACCCCAGGTTGCTGGAATGGAGCCATTGAAGTTATTGTTTGCCAGATTTAAATTCTGAAGATTCAACATGCTTCCAAGATAATCAGGTAAGGGACCAGAAAGATTATTATCATGTAGATCCCTGCACAGATGGAAAGCACCTAAGGTATTTCTCAAAGTGAATAATTAGGCACAAAATGACATCCCAGAAGAGATGGCGTCATGGGTTAAAATTATCCTTGCGGTTTCGTCATCTTCTAGACAACAAGAAAAGCTTAGTTCCTGATACAGTTTGGCTATAAAAATCCTTTTTTACCACTCTACTTGGCACTGTTTCCATTGAAAAGTCCAATAAAACCAAGTCATTTTGCAACCATCCCATACTAATTTTGGTCTCTTCTTCATGTCTATGCAAAATTTATCCTGGATTATTGTGACCTCCAGCTGTTATCTTTTTCCTCGTTTCTTATTTTATCATTATAGTATGGTTACAGATCCACGTCACATTCTCATTTTGGCTATATATTATGGTAAGATGCTAGGTGAGATAAATAAAAAGAATCTTGAACAATGTACTAAAGGTGAGAAATTTAAGAAACCGTTGTCTAATTTAAAGAATATCTTCATTTTAATGTTTTTCAGAAGAGAGATTTTTTAAGCCTTGAACTATATCAACAGCAGACAAGCATAAAGGTCCAAAATGGTAAAAGTTTTCATTGATATGTATTGCAAGAATCGGATCTTAATCCATATGCAAATGCAAGTTGGGGCTTCTCAATACCCCCCCCCCCCCCCCCCCCCCCCCCCCCCCCCCCCCCCCCAAAAAAAAAAAAAAAAAAAAAAAGAA